GGGAGGGGACAGCGGGGAGCGCCGCGGCCTCACCTTGAAGGGATCGGGGTTCCCGCCGAGCTCGCCTGCAAGGGAGGGCGGGTGAGGACGGCGCCCCGGGGCCCGTGTCAGGAAGAGCCCCGCCCACCGCCACGCCCCGCGCCCAAGCCACGCCCCTTCCCGCGGGGCAGCCCCATGGCCTTGATGCTCCCGCACCAGCCCCGCCCCCGCATGACTCCGCCCCACCACGGCCCCGCCCCAGGCCCCGCCCCTCTCGTGGCCCCGCCCCCTCACCGTTCTTGTGCTTGAGGGCCTTGGAGCGCCGCGGCGAGTTGGGGTTCTGCAAGGAGAGCCGTGGGGGGCCGTGGGGTGGCGGGTCCACGAGGGGCCCGCCCAGGGCCGCCGCCCGCTCCCCGGCACTCACCTTATCCGACTTCCTCTTCTTTGCTAGGGAAAGAGAGAGCAAAGGGGGCGGTTTTCATCTTTTGGGGTTGATTTAACCCCAAATTCGCGAGGCCACGTCCACCCCGCAGCTACACGGGGCACCTCAGTACCGGGGAGCTCCAGTGCGGGCACACTGAGCTCCGCACTCGGCTGCTTTAACCCTGGATAAACACTGGGAGAGGGCACGAGGGCCCCAGGGAGACAGCCGGCCAGGACCATCCTCTTCCTCGCCTGGGGCTGGGGGTAGGAAGCTCTTCTTTCCCCCATCCCCGGTGTGGGGGGGAAACGGGGACAGGGACCCCAGCGAGGCTGCCGCCCGCCMGCCGCCCCCGCGGGCGCCCACCTTTCTTCTCGGAGCCGTAGGACCAGTCGTTGTCGTTGATGTCGTCGTTGTCCTCCTGGTCGCTCTCCGACTTGTTCATGTTGTTGCTGCTCGCGATCCTGTCGAGGGTTGGGACGGGGCGTCAGAGCCCTGGCCAGTCCCCGCGTCCCCCCCCGCCGCCCCCAGCCCAKGGCCAGGGGTGTCCCCACCGGCGAAAGGGGGGCAGAGCAACCAGAAAGAGGGGGGGACAGAGCCCGGCCGGGGGCTCCCGCGTCCCGCGGCGCTCGCCTGCGGTTGGCGATGCGGCTGCTGTTGCGGCCCATGCCCAGGCACTTCTCCAGGTGCGGGGCGAAGCGGGAGGCGGCGATGCTGCGGCTGCAGTTGGGGCACACGCACTCCTTGTTCTTCCACTGGTTGTACACCTGCCCGAAGATGTCCACGCCGGGCTGGTCCACGATCTCTGCGGGAGCAACGCGCGTCAGCCCCGCGCCTTCCCCTGCCCTTTCCCGCTGGGATGCGGCTGATGGAAAGACACTGCTCCGGKGGGCAAGCGAACGAGCCCACTGTCCCCACGTGACTTAACGGCCAAGGTGTCCCCAGGGAAAGGGGGCTTCTCCGGGCAGCACTGACCGCCTGGGCCCAAGGGGCTCCAGCCCCATCCGCTCACCAAATGGATCCCACCACCCTGAACGTCCTCCACGTTTTCCCTCCCTTGCACCCAAGTCCTCGCCAGCCGGTCCCCACAGAGCCTCCACACGGTGCKGCCGGCCGGGATGGGGATGATGGGGATGTTCCCCGTCCCGCTGTCCCGGGAAGCCGTCCCCAGGCGCTCACCGAAGTCCTTCATGCTGTCGGGGTCCGTGTCGTCCAGGAAGAAGTAGCCGCACTTGACGGCGCGGTGCACCTCGAAGCAGAGCCCCAGGCACGCATCCTCCACCAGCTCCGTGTAGATCTCGTGCGCGATGGCCTGCGACACGACCGGCGCGCGGCACCGTGAGGAGCCCGCGGCGGCGCCCCCGGCCCGCGCCGGGGCACCGGGCCGGCCCCGCGGCCGCTCACCTCCAGCTTGCTGTTATCCAGGCCAGACAAAGACATATCCTCCATTTTCATTTGCAAACGCTGGCGGAGAAGGGACGCGGAACGCGCATAGCACGGCACGGGCGGCGATGGCGCTGCGCTGCGGGAGGCGGGCGCCCGTCGGCTCCTCCGAGCCCCGCAACGGGGGACACGGGGGCTGCTGGCGAGGGGCGTCCCGGTGCCAACGGAGGGTGGGGGACCCCGGGGACGAGGCGGGGGGGCCCGGCAGCCCCACACGGCCGCTCCCCGGCGCCCGGGTAAACAAGGAGCGCTGCACGCGGAGCCGGGAGCGCTGCACGCGGAGCCGGGAACGCCTCCCCGCCGCCACGGCCGTCACCGGGGCCGCGGGGCTGCCCCCCGTGTCGTCTAGGGGAGCACCCGGGCACCCTCCTCCCGCCCCCGCCCCCCACACCGCCTGTTTTTGCTCGTTTTTGCCCGTTTTTGCTGCATCACCTTCCCTCGGAGCAGAGCAACCAGCAGGGATGGGGGAGAACGGGATCCGCCCCGGGCAGAGCCCCCGCCCCGYCCCGGGGACCATCCCGGGCACCGGCTGGAGACCCCCCCCCAAACAGGAGGAGGGAATAAGTGGTGGTGGTGGGGGGGGCGGGAAATCCCGCGGGAAGATCCCGGCAGCACCGGGAAGATCCCGGCGCCTCCGGAGCAGCCCGGGCGGGGGGAGGGCGGCCCCGCGGCCGCCTCCCGGTGCCCCCCCCGTCCCGCGCACGCGTTTCCGGGCCGCCCGCGGGGCGGATTTGCTACCGGGGGACGGAAAGAGGAAGCTCCGAGCGGCGCCGCTTCCTCCGGGCCCCCCCGGTGCTGCGGGCGGAACAAAAGGGCCGCGGGCGCCGGCACCGGCCGGGGGGGGCTGC